GGACTTGTTGATATTTTCCACACATAGCATTACAATATCTGTATATTTTAATACAAATAACTTGGTATTAATTTTCCGAGTTGTTATATTTCTTTAATGGTATGCTGATATTTTGAAAACAAATCTGAAAGTAATATTTGTTTTCATTCAGAAATAAGCATTGTCAATATTTTTTAATATAAATATTTGATGTCATTTAAATAAAATAATAAATACGGTGCATATATTTATTTGTTACTTATAGGATAATATTGAATATTCTCGGCCAAATCAACATATTTATCCATTAAAGTGTTTTTATTATAGTGGTACTGAATTATTATCCACCACCCCGTGCAAATTATTTGTTTATTGCGTATGTTTTTTTTTTGGTACAATTATTGCGTATGTTAATTACTTTTAGCCTTTTAAGTACATTTATTTATGTTATTTATTTGTTTATTGCGTGATTGTTTGAAAAATCTTTTGATGTCTAGCGATTAGATTAGTTGATTCGTCAACCATTGTGATATAGAAGTTAAATAATTCATTAATAAGAACTGAAAATATTGCAAATAAATATAATAATAAAATAAAAATATATGCGTTCAATTAGGACTGGCAAAAAATTCAAACCGAACCGCTGAATCGTAGATCCGAATCGAAATCGAACCGAATTTTCGGTTAACCGGGGTACTCGGTTCGGTTACAAATACCTCAAAGGAAGTATTTGCTCGGTTCGGTTCGGTTACGGTTTCTAGCATTTTTTTACCCCGGTTAACCGAACCGAACCGTATATTGTATTAAAATTACTATATTATATATTATATATTATATATATTAAACTAACCTAAATAGTAAATACCTAATCAACACTCAGTCACTCACCCAAATTCTAACCTAGCTAATCGCTCCAGACTTGAAAATTCATTCTCGTCTTCCTCACGCCGTCAGCCCATCACGCTCTTCCTTCCGATTCATCCTTGTTCATCCCTTCGTTCCAGCCAGCCGCCCAACCCCATTCGCTCATCCCTCTACTTCGCGAGACGCGAGTTTCCCTAGGTTGCTGCTCCGCGCGAGTTGCCCAGCCCTAGATTCAGCTTCGCGCGAGTTGCCCTAGGTTGCTGTCGGTGTCCCTGCCCTCTTTCCCGCCGCTCCTCGCCTCTTCTCGCCACAACCGCCGCTGCTGCAAAGGTATGAGATTTTTTATTTATTGATTTTGCCCAACCCTAGTTTCCAGTTCCACTGTCCGTTTGAGACTTTGAGGATAATGTATACATACAAACAATCTTTCTTTTTTATCTACCAGAAATTTTCTTTGTTGGTTTATTGGTTTGTTGGTTTAACATTCGTGAAGTAATTTTGGCAGATTTGGCAGATTTATTGGTTTATTGGTTTTTGATTTATAGAATTATGGTGTCAATGGGTTCAAAAACCAGTGGTGATGCTGTGGATTCAACCCAGCCATTAGAAACGGAAACACCGACTGAGCCACAGACAGAACCGACTGAGACAGCAGCTGAAGCTCAAGCTGAACCAATCGGAACAGCTCCCACAAATGTGATACCCAAACCTCGATCCATTGCATGGGATAACATTACAAGAATTGAAGCCGAGGATAGGGCCAAATGTAACCACTGTTCTACCTTGATAACTTGTAAGGGCAAGCAAGGTACAAGTACTAGTGCTATGTTAAACCATTTGAGAAGATGCAAAGCAAAGTTGGATGAGGTTCAAGATGAAGAGCGGCCGGGAAAGAGGATTAAGCAGGTAACATTGCATAATCAACCGAGAAGGGGTAGTGATTCCACTATTGTCAATTCTTATTTGCATTTTGATCAACCACAATGTCGTAAAGCACTTGCAAAATGGGTTGTTGTTGATGAGATGCCATTTAGGATTGTAGAATCTGAAGGTTTTTGTGAATGCATGAGTGTGATTCAACTTAGGTTTGGAATTCCATCAAGGAAAACATTGGTTAGGGATTGTATTAAGATTTATTAATATGAGAAGTCCAAGTTGGAAAGTTTTATGAAGAACCACAAGGGTAGTATTTGCCTCACAACTGACATTTGGACATCATGCCAGAATCTTAGTTATATGTCATTGACAGCCCATTTCATTGATGAAAGTTGGAATTTGCATAAGAAAATTCTAAACTTCTGTCCCATTCTCGGTCACACTGGAGCTGCTATTGGGAAGAAAGTTGAAGATTGTTTAGTGTCCTGGAAAATAAAAAATGTTTTCAGTATTACAGTTGATAATGCCAGTGCGAATGATGTTGGTTTGAAATATCTGAAGGACAGGTTGAATAAATGAGGAGGAACAATTTTAGATGGCAAATATCTAAACATGAGGTGTGGAGCACATATCCTTAATCTCATTGTTAAGGATGGTTTGAAGGAGTTTAAGTGTCCAGTTGAGCGAATACGTGCTGCAGTTCTTTTTGTCAAGTCTTCATCGAATCGAACACAAGCATTCAAGAAGTTGATTAAGAAAGCAAGATTGAGCACAAATTCGGTTGTTTCACTCGATGTCGATACACGATGGAATTCAACATATAAGATGTTGGATTCGTCCTTAAGAGTAAAAGATGCATTTGATTTGTTGGAATGTGAAGATGAAAAGTTCACTGAAGAACTGTAGAAAAATGGCAAAACCCCACCAAATGAAGAGGATTGGTCGTATGTGCGAGGATTTCTTCCATTTTTTAAGTGTTTTCATGACACTACTGTTAAAATTTCAGGTTCTAAGTATGTAACTGGAAATTTATACATGAAAGAAATTTTTCGTGTTGCATACAACATCCAATCAATGAAGGAACATTCAGAATTTATGGTTAGATCAATGGTTACCAAGATGTCTGAGAAGTTTTTCAAGTACTGGGGTGATTGGAAGAATGTCAATGCTATAATATATGTTGCAACCATTCTTGATCCACGTCACAAAATGCGTTGGGTGAACTTCATGATCAACCGTGTGTATAAAGAAAGTGATGCAAAGGAGCTGCTTAAGAAGATTGAGGGTGTTTTGAAAACGATGTTTGAAGAGTACAATTCCACATCACTATCTGGTGCAGCAGCGGATTCCTCATCTACTCAGACTCGGTCTAATATCATTGATGATGTTGTCAACATTGATGATTTTGAGAGAATGTTGCAAAGAGAAATGGAAGAATTTGAAGCCGTTGAAGTTCATGGTGTGTTGAAGTCTGAATTGGATAAATATTTGGATGATGAATGTGAAAAGATGACTCAAGTGAGCTTTGATATTCTGTACTGGTGGAAGACAACAGGATCGAAGTATCCAATTCTTTCTCGCATGGCTAGAGATGTGTTGGCCATCCCAGCATCCACGGTTGCATCGGAATCTGTATTTAGCACGGGCAGTCATGTTGTTGATCACTTTCGTAGTTCTTTAACTCCCAAATTGATTGAAGCACTTATATGCACACAAGATTGGATTCGGAAAGGTAATCCACCCATTTTTGAAAAAAAAGGAATTTGAAGATCTTGAGAAATTAGAAGAAGGTATGTATTATTTCTATCTTTTCATTAATAGATATGTTTAATAAATATTTATAGCAAACATAATCCTTTTTATGGTTTAATTTTTATCAATATGGGATGCTAATCTCTTGGACTTGGATGACTAGTATTGAAGATTTTCATTAAGGTATATGATCAATTTATATTTTAGTTTTGGCATTGAAACATTATATTGAATTTTCTGAATATAGGAACATTTGTCTTTATTTGCTCTTCATGCTTGCATTAGAATTTGTTATTTTATTTTGTTCCATTTATTTTTAATTTGTTCCATTCAGAATTCTGTCATTTTTTCTTAATTTGATTTTATCTTCAGAATTCAGAATTCCAGTCACTGTCTGTTTTCACGAAAAGTACGGATATGTTTCCATTCTGCTGTCTGGTGGTCTGGGTAAGCATTCACCAGCACCTTTCAAAAATCGATAATTTAAGCATTCCATTCGATATCATCAAGGGATTGTGCTTTTGGTAATAAAATTAAATTCATCAAGGGAATCATTGTCATTATTATTGTTTCTTTATTGTTTTGCGTACATTAAACAGGACTCATTTTGCATTTGGCAGTTCATGTTTCGCCCAACTAGTTGAGCTCACTATGGTCCGGTACCTACTGCTTGCTTGGTTTCAACTTTCAAGGTGTGATCAATCCTTTAGTATCTTGTTTGATGATGAAGTATGAACTTGTAGGGATGATTAATGATTTGTTGAAGATTATAATTAACTTTTGTGGGATGATTTATGGTTTGCACTATACCTGCTGGTTGTTGCTGTTTGTGGAAGATTATTTGCAAACAGGGATGGTTTTTTACAAGTTAGCCCTAATATGCTCACGTTTAATGTTCTGACTAATAAAACAACATTGATTAAAAAATGTGAAGAATATATTATGGTTTGTGATTGTGATTATGATTTATGATTTGCAAACATGAATGATTGGCTAATTATGTTTAATTGTTTATGATGTTTTCGGTTCGGTTCGGTATTATTTGCAAACAAGTAAACAGATTTGTGTTAGGTTTGCTCGGTTCGACTCGATTCGGTTAATTCGCGAATAGTAAGATTTTTTCGGTTAATCGAAAATTCGGTTAACCGAGATTTTCGATTCAGTTTCGGTTAGCAAGTTCGAATATTTGCTCGGTTCGGTTCGGTTAGCAAATACCTCAAAAACTCGAGTATCCGAACCGTGCCCAGCCCTAGCATTCATTCGTTTTATTTATATCATAGTCAATTTGGAAGAGCCAACGAAGTTGTCGAAAACATATATATATTACATTTATAGAGTAAGAACCACTGGATCATCACGTATTCCACGAATTAGATATATGAACTACCGAACCCAAAACAAATATGCTTATGAAAATCCAAGACATTAATAAATAGTCTAATAAATAGCCGTATACTTTTTATTTATCCACTTTTGCTTTTCCCTTCGCGTCACTCCGATTCTTCATAAATAACTCTCTTCTCCAACATTCAATTCCTCGCAAAGGTTGTCATTGATGAGTCAGCAATCAACCTAGGATTTTGGTTAAGCTTGTTAGACATAGGAATTTCCTCTTCAACAACAATATTCTAAATACATACCAATTTGTGAGTAAACATATATAATCAACAATAATGTTAAATAAAATAGAACTTTGTATATAATTAAATATTATATTGTACCATGTCATTGGTGATTTCTACTCCTGTTAAGTGATAAAATCAGATTGCCCCACGAACAAACAAATGATTACATTACCAAACTCATTTGGAAAAGAAATTGAAACAAAAAATATAGAGTAAACACTTCCCTTAAAAATATAGTTTATCAGATTTTATTTATTATACCTTATTAGTTCCATAAATAGAATCAACATGGGCCGAATCTTCAACTTCGTCATTTTCAACATTTCTACTATTGAATACCAATTGCACATTGCCCATGTTGTCCTCATAGCACCTACAGTAAAAAATGGATTATATGTCAATCATATAAATAATCTTATCAAATTCATTGGTGATAGAAAAGCTCAACCTCCTCACAAATTCGCGAATTTCCGGAACGGATTGTCTAGCAATTATCTTGGTGATATGCATCTCAGTCGTCAAATGAGCTTTAGCTAAAGCATTGCAAATTAAAAATAATTCAATGACAAATTAAACATTATTAAATATGTATTGTATGTTATTTCAATACCTCCATAGAGCGTGGTACGACATAAATGCATAATAATCACCGGTGGTAAACGCGCAACACAATGTTCAGCTTTAATTTTCAGAATTGCGTCAGCATAATCACCCAAGAGAATACAATCAATTGTGTTCCTCCTAATCATTTAGTTAATTTAATTTAATGTAATTAGTAAAGAGATAGAATACACTTAGTCAAAATTAAATTTACAAAATTACTTACTTAAGGTCCATAAGCTTGAACACAACCCCATTAGTTTTTGCTCCATCAACTTCTATAAAATTGATCGGACTAACCACAACACCAATGACATTTACACAATAAATAAACAAAAAAATATTAAGTTAATGTAAAGTTTGTATAAAAAAAAATGTTATCAATCTAAATATGGTATGTAAAATTGAATAAATAAATAAAATTGTTACCAAATAAAATGGAAAGACCATAACGGACACCTCCAAGTCTTCGAAATTCAAATAAAAATGATGGAAAATAACCTTTCCACCTCACCAAAATTGTCATGCCGTGGATAATCATTTTGTAGTTTGAAATGGAGAGTCGAAATGAGCTAACATTCGGTGCAACGTCGTAGTTGTTAATGCCGTAGACGTGGCCTTCTTTCACCTTGTCTACCCATTTGTTCACATCAGCCCCATGAATCATTCCGGTGAATCGTCCACCCTACAACATAGAGTTAGATGCAACACTATTATTAAAGTTATTATATTAATGTTTGAATACTAATATAGATAGTACTATATATATATATATATATATATATATGAACACGGATTGTAAAAAATATTCGAACGGATTGTAAAAAATATTATATTCAACATCATATGTGCACGGATTATAAAAAGCCGATTGTACACACTTAGAAGAAAATACAAACAATAATATGTCCAATTTTTTAACATGTAATAATATGACAACAACATAAAATACACTTATAAGAAAAACGGATTGTACACACTTAGAACAAAATACAGACAATAATATGTACACACTTAGGATTCGTATTATATATATATATATATATATATCCATATATATGAACACAAATTGTAAAAAATAAAATATATTAATGTTACTATTAGTCTTAATACTTATATTATCTATAAAAGGACACGAATACCAAACACAAAAATATGAAACACACCTCTTCGTCATGGAATAGGATTTCCATTAAGTTTCTATCCTCAACATCATATGTGCGAACAATTGTTCGAATCACCCTCAACATTAAGAGAGGTGGCTGAGGACAGAATTCTTGCAGGGAAGATGAATGGGAGAGAGGTGGCTGAGAGCAATGCATTAGCTGGGGGTAATAAAAGAGCAAGAAAGAGGTGCTGGGCTCTAAAGGTGATGGGTAAAGTGAAACACATGGTTTGGCAAGCTCTTTCAGATATCCTACCCGTTACAACGAATCTGCAGAGAAGAGGAATGAGGGTGGAAACAAGATGTGGAGTCTGTGGGGGAGGAACCAGAATCACAAGAGCATGTTTTTTTCATGTGCAGGAAAGCTAGGAGAGTGTGGCAAATAGCACCAGTCCAATGGAACAGGGTGCAGGCAGAAAAGATGTCCTTCAAGCAATGGTGGTGGTGGATTAGCACAATGAAATATGATGACATTTCTGAGGACAGAATTCAGCTCTCCACTTATATTCTGTGGTGGTTGTGGAGAGCTCGAAATCTGTGGGTGTTTGAGGGACAATGGCAGCCTGAGGAATGGATCATCAAAGCAGCATGGAGGGATTGGCTTGAATTCAAAACCAACAACACCAAGGACTGAACATTGCCAGAGTTATAGCCTAGGTCATGTGTCAGTGGGTTATAATTCTTGTATATAGTTCTGTAGGGGTTTATAGCTATGTTGGTGGTGTTTAGTCAGTTTTGTGGTTTTTTATTTGTGTATTGGGTTCCTAGCTTTGTGATGTATTCTGATGGTAGTGCTTTTTATTTGGTTTAGTTGATCTGTAGGTTGATTTAGGCTAGCCTATGGCTTTGTCCTCCCAGTTACCCAGGAATGGGAGATTTCCCTTGTAAACATTGCCCGAGTTTAGGGTTTTCATGAAGTTGATTATATCGTTGGAAAAAAAAAAACCACAAGTCTTTTAGATGGAATAAAAAATCGCATCACAAGTATATGTTTGTTCTTATCACACGTTTATTTATAATATGTAGATATATAGATATATTTTAATATTGTATGTTTGGTCTTATCACACGTATTTATAAAAAAAATCGTTAATGATAAAAATATTTTATCTAAAGAAATACATCAATTTATTATTATAATAATGTACGAATCTATATATATAAATATATAATATGTACTTGTTCTTATCATTATTAACTTATCATCTATATAAAAAGGTATATAAATATAAAAAGGTATTTATGTATCTATAAATATATGTTTGTTCTTATCACACGTATTTATGTAACATTGGCTTTTACTTATCTGTTGACGCATGCATCCGCATTCATTTTTTTTTATTTGCGTGAGATAAGTATGTTATATTGTTTGATAATTATGATATCATTATAAATAACAAACTGGGTAATTTAATTGCACTAAACAAATGCAAATAATGTGGTATGATAAAAATATAAATGGATAAAGTCGTAGGAATGTATAATAAAAAATGGAAGCTAAATGCTCCCATTTATTTTATTTATATAACCATAATCAACGAAGATCCCAATAACCATAAACCGAATACTAATAATTAACTAAATTCCCTAACAAATAGAAATAATACTTCACTAAATAACTTATTAATAGCATTAACTAAATTCCCTAACAATGAGAAATAATCCTTCAATAAAAAACTTATTAATAGCTATAATAGTAATGCTCCAACTACTCCTCATCACTCATCAAAAACTTTAGATTTTCCCTTGTCAATAGTCTTGGACTCGGCAAAAACACCTATTTTTTCATCTTCTGCATCCAATTCCTTGCGTTTGACTGCCGATAATCATCTCGGCCAAGGACTGCACTGACTGCCGAATTACTTACTCCCAAGTACAAATACAACATCTCTTCGGGGATTGGTTTCTGCAGAGTCGGAGGCTGAGCAAGTACTTCCTTGATACTTTGGAGCGCTTTTTGACATTCTTCAGTCCATTCGAAGTACTTTCATTTCTTGATGGCATTGAAAAAAGGCTTACATCGATCATTTGACTTTGAAATGAACCTATTGAGAGCGGCGAGTCGTTCGGTTAAGGCTTGAACGCCCTTCACCGACGCCGGTGGAGTTAGATCTTGAATTGGATCTTGATTGGGTTGGCTTCTATCCCATGTTGGCTCACCATGTATCCTAAAAACTTGCCGGATGCTACTCCAAATGTGCATTTTTTCAGATTCAGCACCATTGAGTAATCACGCAAAATATCGAACATTTCTCGCAGATGTCCGACGTGATCAACAACACACACAGACTTGACCAACATGTCATCCACATAAACTTCCATTGTTCTTCCGATTAATGCGGAAAACATCTTGTTGACGAGTCACTGGTAAGTGGCCCCTACATTCTTCAATCCAAATGGCATCATTGTGTAGCAGTACAGACCGCGAGCTAAGTAAAAAGAGGTGTGCTCGGCCTCCTCGGGATCCATAGGAATCTGGTTATATCCAGAATAAGCATCCATGAAACTCATGAGCTCATGCCCCAAAGTGGCATCTACCATATAATCGATATGCGGTAAAGAGTAGCTATCTTTGGGACAGGCCTTGTTCAGGTAAAAAAAATCGATGCACAAGCGCCACAAGCCATTACTCTTCTTGACGAGAACAGGATTCGACACCCATGTCGGGTACTTGGTTTCTTTGATGAATTTGTTATCAATGAGCTTTTGAACTTCTTCTTCCAAGGCTTTTTTACGATCGGGCCCCAACTTCCTTCACTTTTGAACAACAGGCTTTACCGTTCGGTCAAGGTTGAGTTTATGACTGGCGACTTTCGGATCAATTCCCTTCATGTCCTCGTGTTTCCAAGAAAAACATCGGAATTATTTCGGAGGAAGTGGATGAGTTGGGTTTTTATCGGTTCTTGAAGGTTGACAACTATTTTCAATGATTTGTTGCACATCGGTTTGTCAACGTAAATTAACTCGGTTTTCTCACAAGGCTCTGCTCGGTCATTCCAACTTTTCTCTTTAAACTGAGTTTGGGGATCCAATTCATCTTCATCTCGGATCGGCTCTTTGCCAGGTCGTCTTCCAGGACTTCGGTCAAACTTTTCCTCTTCGGTTTCTTCTGGGGTCAGCTGGATTTCGGCACCAGGTTCTTTGATCTCGGTAGGCTCCTTTTCCGAGATGGGGATTAATTCGTGGATGTCTTCTTTGATTTGTTCCACCGTATGGATTTCGCCGGGCGGTGTAGTCAAGACAAGTTCCAGGCCTCTTTTTGTTCTCCATAGTGCGTCCCTTTTCCGCATGCAGTAGGAAATCTGAGAGCATAATGGTAGATGGATACTGCAGCATGAAGTTTGTATAGAGCAGTTCTTCTGATAATGGAGTTGTATTCGTTCTTGATATCCATAATCTTGAAAGTTTCTATGATGACCTTCGAAGTGCGTTCAGGGCCCCCAAAATGGATTGGCAGAGTTATCTCACCGATTGGGCAAGAAATACTTTGTAGCGCCCCGTTAGTTTATGGAATATTTGGGATTTTTAATTAATATTATTGTCATTATTATTATTTTTATTATTGTTATTATTATTCTATTTAAATGCCTAATTGTGAAATAAATGTTTAATGTGTATTATTATTACAAATAATGTGTGAAATATATTTTATTATAACAGCAGTAATTTTTATTTTAATTATCATGCGTACCGAGCCATTTTATTTTGGCAAAATAAACCGAGAAATGGAGCCCGAGAGAACGGTACACTCTTAACCGAACCTCCGGGCCCATTAACCGGCGCCCTGGCCCACTTTAGCCCGCAACCCGTAACCAGGCCTGGCCCGGCAGATCTTTTTCTCTCTTTTGCGCGTGAGTGGCGTGAGATTTCTTTTGGGTCAAAATTCTTAACCTAAGGCATTATGTACATGTATATTTCCTCTACTCGTTTCTCTCCTCAAAAACGATACCTCGCAGCTTTCTTCTCTTCCCAGATCCGATCGTCACTCTCGCGCAGAGAAAAATCCTTTCCCTCAGTTCGATCTCTTTTTTTGTTCCGGTTATTTCCGCCGACCATCATCTCCCTCAGCGCTCAAATCTCTTGCTCTGTTCTTTTCTGATTTTCCCGTCGACCCTCCCCATCACATCGCCGTCCTCGTCGACTTTGCATCGTCCGATCATCCCAGTCATTGTCCCCGCGGATTTTCGTTCAGAGCAGACCGTCGCCATCATCGCCCGCGCACAGCAACTCTCCGGCGACCGTGAGTTCACCCTTCTCCATTGCAGACCAGCAGCAAGTCGCTGCTCCCTCCACCGGCGAGCCCATCTCAGTCCCCGACGAGCACCCCGCCTGCAACTTCCGGCGATCTCAACCTTCACGCACAGATTTTTCCGGTGACTCCGAGTCCGTTCAGCACCTCGACAAGTGAACTCTGACTGTGGCCTAGCAGCAGCGACCCTCCTCAGCCACTGTCCTCCTCCGAGAGACGACGCTTGCCGTCGAGCTTGCCGCGAGCTCGTCGTCCTTCTCTTTCGTTCCGTTTTTCGAGAATTCCCGACAACGGTACCTAGTCGATTCCATCTCGGTTAAATCGTTTATGTTATTTATGAATATTTTGATTTGCGATTTGATGTGCGAGATGTGTATATTGTGCGAATGTGATCAATGTGATATTTCGTGAAGTCGTGATTTTATGTGTAATCGTGTTGTTCGGGATCTCTTCGATTATGAGAAATCGAACGAGGCCTCGAAACTCGTATAAGTCAGTGGATATTGGAACAAAGTCGAGTCCTTGGTCTTACGAGAAGGCCTCGGACGAGAAGTTTCATGTTATGAATTAATTGCTTAGTTGTCGAGTATATATGTTGCTGTTTTGGTGTTTGAATTTTTAAAAATCGCACACTGCTCGGAATGACTTGAAATTTTGAGGGATATGTTATCTGTTCATTGCCAGCCTTGTGTAAAAATTTCGTAATTGTTAGAGGCCTGTAGCTATATTTAATTATTAAGGTGAAATTTGATCAGAATGGTGTTAAATGCATAAAAACTTCATTCGTGAATGAAATGAGCTGAGATTCGAATATGTCATGCCTCTATGACTTTTATATGTTGTGTTAAATTTTTAGAATTTTTGGACTTGATTTGATGGGGCTAATAATTTATTTATCGAATCTGCTGAAGCGTTGTTTGAATTTTTATAAATTGGTTACTTCATGAAAAATTCTGAAATTTTACTGAGAGACCTATTTTATGTATAGAATCATGTGTTTAAAAGATGGAAAGTTTTGGAGTCCATTTTGATTTAGTTTTGATTTAAATTCAATAAACTGCTAATGCTCGTGTGAATTTTTAAAAATAGTAGCAGTCAATATTTAAGGCTGAGATTTTTACACATTGATATTAGCATGCTGTATGTTGTTGTGTTAAATTTGCAAGTTCCGATTCGCTCATTAAGTTCAAGTATGAATTGATGTTCCCATTTTGTTGATATCTTGTTCGAATTTTATAAAATAGTGTATTTCGAGTTTGAAGCTGAAAATTGGTGGTTTTACATGTTTCTGGGAGATGTAATTTTGTGTAAAATTTCAGAGCTTAAGTCGTAGGGTAGCCTGACCATCTATTTTCATGTGATTAATGATTACTATTTTCGAAACACGATTTTGAAATGAAAAGTTGGGAATCGACTTGCTTTTCGTTTTTATGTGAGTTTGACTTGGTCAATCCTTAGATGGATTTATGTGAACTCCCTTATGTGGTTTGGTCGAGTTTAGTGCCGAGTCTTAGTGTTCCAACATCCACAGGACTTCACGAACTACTTAGTCGAAACAAGTTCGACTAGGTCTGTTTTGTGTTTTCTGTTTAAAGTCAAGATAGATGTTGATTGTAGCATCTTGACTCAATGTAGGTAATTGAGGAGTCCAGCCTCGACCTACTTCCATTGCTTTGAGTTATTATCAGTCCGAAATCCAGGTGGGTTATTCTAAAAATTATCTATGCATATGTGTGATTTTAAATTGTGATGAAAGTTTGGTGTGATCTATGTATGAAAATGAACATGTAGCCTATCGATGTGAGCTTGATGGCCGTCGATACGGTTGTCCCCGTATGATAAGATACGGTTACCCTGTGAGGTAAATCTCATAAGACCTATGAGAAGGCCGTGCCATTGATGTGGCACGCACTCCCATGTTTCACTGATATGGCATGGCTTAGCTTTGATGAGCATAGATGTACATGAGTGAGTCTTTGATGAGACTATAGTCATTGATGTGGCTAGAGATGTGACATGATTTTATTGTTTATGTTCATGCTGTGACCATACCATTATTATGTTATTCATATGCATAGCGTGAGTACGATAGTTAACTGTACTCACTCCCACCTGCTCGTAACTGATGCAGGTTAAGCAGTCGGCGGGTGACGAGATAAGACGGGTGGTGGTCATGCTTTTATTTATTGCTTATTTATTTACTTCCGCTCATTTAAGGAACTCATGTTGAGATATTTTGATTATGTCGTTTTGAACTTGGAGTTATGAATTATCTTTATGATTTGGAACTTAATGAATGTTAGTTTGG